CAAGTGCCTGTGATCCTACCTGCTCTTCATTCATACTTCAACATCATCAATGGGCGCTGCCATATTTACAGTGACATCACAATTCACAAAACGTCATCAATTAATCCGCGACCACTAGAAATTATTTCCAACTACCTTTCTAAAACATAGCGTCACATTAATTCAAATTATACCGAAACTTCATCGGAGTTTTTGTATAAATCACAATTTTGAAACCAAAATTCTGCGCGGTTTGTATAAATAAACAAATCGGGATTATTTCGTCTTTCGGCATCGGATCGCGACAGGCGTTGCGCGGCCATTTCTCTGAAGCCGCGGGACGGGGATGCAGCGATCGCATGTGTAACTTGAGTGCGCGCGTGCAGGAGAGACACACATAGAGAGAGGGAGGTGAAGCTCAATAGTAAGGATCTACGGCGTGTTTGGCCGACACAGCAAGTCTCACCCGGCCGCGATTAGTAAAACTCTAAACGATGGGGAAGAAAAATAGCAAACCGAGGCAGGACGTTGCTAAGAATTTGGCGGAGAAGACGGTATATTAATGAAGACCCGTGCGATATTTCAGCCGCTTGGTGGTGCTGCAATAAACTTCGGTTCTACTCCGGTCGCTGTTCGCTTGTTTGCGTGTTTGTTTACATAGTGTAATCGTAGAGCAGAGCACTGAATATCAACATATATGTTATCAATGTTTATATACGTACTCTGCGTATACTTTTACTGGACTCATCAACTAACCTCACCCATAATGAACTGGAGAACAAGCGAATAGCTAGCTGGAAAACAGTGTAAACTAATGAATAAAATACTCCCAACTCTGTGGACTAGACTCAAGACTGGCATACGTAGCCTGCGGCAACTGTACCCACACGCATCATACGGCAGTTATCAATCGTGCCTAGCTGCAATGATGCAGATTAAGTACACGTCATTTGAATGCAGTAGATTATTTACAATAGGAAATTACTGATGACGTAGCTATGTGAATTTATCACTTATTTGGTTATCTGATTAACTATTCTGGTACATAATAAACTATAATAATACTAGTATAGAGTTCAGTGTGCTCTAGCCATAAATTACCTTCTCTCTTCTAACTACATGGGTTCACCTACGATGTAAACAGTTGTAGAGAAGATCGAGGCAGGCGAAGTGTGCCGCAGCTTATGTACAGTTGGATCTGGATAAGGGTTAGCCTTTAATTTTGTAATATTTCTTTTAATAAATATTGACTGGGAATATATATACTATTATAGTCTGTACTTGGAATTAAAATTACAAACGTATTGTTGTATATATTTGGCACACATACAAATACACATATATAGGTAATCATTATTGATCTTGATATGTACGTCGAGAAGCCTCAATAGGTGAATTACGACGGGTTCCCACCCGGAGCGCTAAAAGACCTTAGTGTCGAGTTTTGATGCCAGATTGAAAGGTGTCAGGATCTTCAGCAGAGATGAGTGCTTCCTCAAGGAGTCAAGGTGATTCCACTCCTTAACTGTCCTCACGAAAAATGAGTTCTTACTGTTCAGTATGACTGAACGGAACTTTGAAACACTTCGAGTGATTTATATAAACTGATCGTTCTACTAAGTTTATGGTTTCGTACTCGCGGTTTTGATTTATCGGCGGGTTTTGCGGATAGGTTCTAAAGAAGAACTTGTTTCCTGAATGAAGTTTTATATCACTTTGCTATCGCGTAAGGCGTTATTTTTTACGATGTCGTAGTTTCGCCTTCGGAGTTGTAGAATCGTGTCGGTTACATAAAGAAGAACTCATTTTCTGAATGAAGTTTTATATCACTAGAAAATGTAAGCGACATGCAGCACGCTGAAACAAATGAAAGGGAAATAATGTCAATACAGTATAACGATAACTATCAGAGTTCTCTCTCTCCGTTAATATAACTAAATTGACAATATCCCATAATTGTACAGGTTCCAATAATTTATCAGGGTGTAATGCCAGGACTGAACGCTCAATCACCCTGTACATAAACACTAAATGCGATTCCTTCTTTCAGGTTTCGAGACGTGGAAGGTTTAGAGAGTGTAACATAGGAGTAACACAGCCATGATCGTGGGATGCATAGTCCCTTGTTATAAACTTTGTGGCTTGGTTTTGTATACACTCCATAGCCTCCAAGCTATCAATATCTGACCCGTAGTATGGATTCCATACTACTACACCATATTCGAGTTTCGAACGAACCAACGCTAGATATGCCATACGTAATTATATATTTGAGCCTGAACTTGTGCATAGTATTTATGACAGTTTGTGGGGTTACGCTCATAGGGTCTATGTCCCCCAGGGTACTGCCGGAACGTACCCTGGTAACTATCTAGCTGATATGGTTAAGGTTAGGGTTAGGTAGTAGGCGTAGGCGACTCCCTAGACTCGTTAGTGGAGTAGGCGAGGT